GCCGACGTGGCCCAGCCGCAGCCCAGCTGCCTGCACACCACGTTGGCGTCATTGGTGTCCCAGCTGTCGTCACACACGGTGCCCCAAGAGCCTCGGTACAGGACCTCCACGCGGCCCTGACAACGGTCACCTCCGTTCACCAGCCTCAGGGCCAAACCTGAATCAGTCCCTGAGGAATCCAGAACAGAAATCCCCCTTCATGTCTATCTCAAGCTCAGCTCAGAACATTTGTAAGACCCAAATTTGTAAGACTACAAATTTGTAGGTCCCAGCCTAATCCCCTGGGCACAGAAGGACCTTCAACATGCCAAAGGTCAATCGTCAGCACAGGGAAGAGCAGAGACATCCCAATCAACTCAAGGCTGAGTTTACTCCACTGTAAAGAAGGACCCCATGACTTGGAGGGAGGTGAGGGGGTGCACAAGCCCAATCCGCCCTGGGAACACTCAACATGCAGCTCTACAGCCACTGGGGCATGACGGGACCCGTGCATCAATGGGCAACTTATTGCCTTCCGTGGTATGCTTAGTTCTGCCAACATCCCAGGACGTATTGCCCCTCAGGAGGACAGGTGCCAGCCCAGCACATGGCCCTCCTCTTCTCGCTTCTCAAACCCATTGCCTGGGAGCCAGAAGACCAGCGTGGACCCAGCAGTCCTCGAGAGGCCTCCAGTGCTTACAGTGAGCACCTGGGGGAGGACCTTTGTTGAACGTGAGCCCAGGATCCCAATGGAATCAGTGGGCCACCCTGTAAGATCAGACCCTGGATCTGATCTTCAGAGACTCCTCTCTTTATCCCCTAGCTACACACACACACACACACACACACACACACACACACACACAGGGAGGAGGATAGGGAAGGACACATTATGCGATGCCTCCTGTCACTCCCAAACCCAAGCTTTATCTAGAAGCTGAGAATGATCCTGGGAGGGTGGACTGAAATATTTACCGAATTCTGTGTTCGAAGCTGCGGTGGTGGTGAACCAGGTGGTGTCTGCATAGGGCAAGAAAGGCAAAACTCAGAGTTAAACATTATGATAAGCATTTTCTGAAAGCCATTTGTCACAGGCATCATGACACTTGCCCAACTGCGTTCCTGCCACCTTCCCAAAGGGTGGGCTGTGCAAGTCTCCTGCTCTAATCTTTCTGGGACAAAGGCTATGGGGAGGTCAGCCAGGTGCCTCCACATCTCTAAGCCTGGCATGTTCTTTTTTCCCATAGAAAACTTTTGCCACCCGTCTCTCTTGACTCATGTAGATCTGAGGGCTTTGGCACATGGGGTGCTTGGAGAAAAGATTCAGGCGCATTGAGGGTCACCACAGAACCAAATAGCTACACTAGGACCTAGAGCAACTCCATCGCCTCTGACAGTCCCATCCCCTGCAACTGCTGTCCCTGCCTCGTTGGATGCACATCTCTGTCCAAGGAACCTGAGGCTGTTGCAAGCACTGAGCCCGGGAAAGGAGCCAGCCTGCCCTGGTGGCTCTTCAGGAGGACCTAGGCGGTCCTCAGCATCCATTCTCCCACTCAACCTATCAGCCCGGACTACATGAGAGCTGAGATTCATGGCACATGGGCCAGTTCTCTGAAACTGCAGGCAGCCATCTCTTGGGACAGTTTCCACATACTGGATGGAACCTCATGCACTCATGGGAAGGTGAGACTCTTGGAAATCCCACAGCTAATTAAGAACTACCTGCCAATATCTCAGTGACAATGGGGAAAACTAAAGTGTCCACAAGTTTCACAAAGAGCAGCGGGTTGACCAGCCTGACTGAAGAAGGGTGGGTGGGAGAGAAAAGCCCCAGTGGGGTGGCAGAGGACTCACCTGGCTGGAGTGTGGACTGAGGCCAAGCAGCTGAGGGAAAGAAACAAGAGTCAGACACACAGCACACAGGTGCCCCAAATGGACCAAAGGTTGAAGAA